AAAAAAAAAAAAACAGTGTGTTAGTGAAGTACCTCTTGACCCATTTTGTTATTTTATTGATGCAAATTTATGTTAAAGGCCTTCCTCAGAACCTTAACCTGTAGCTGTGGGGATTTACATGTTTAATTATTGAGCATATTTGTAGCAATGCAGTCGTGTATGATGTGTTAATGCTATGCGTGATTCTAATTATTCCTTGCTTCTGTTTCGAATTCCAGTCATGTGCCAATTATTATCCACTGGAGTTTTTAAATGGTTCCTATTTAAATTTTTTTGTTTTAGATATTGTGTTAGTGATTTTAACCCTGGTCCTGCTGCTATATTTAAGGTTTCCTGGTAGCAGCTGGTGTATTCACTGGAAGCGGTCGGGTGTTAGGTCGGACCTGGTGAGGTGATGGAATTGAGTGTAGTGGGTTTTGGAGTGTGATAATTGAGTTAATACATAATAATTTTAATAGTGCTTCACACTGTGCCACAACCTCTGTGTGTGCCCGTGTCCAGTGAATTTTAGTAGGACCAGTGGATGTAGTCAATGAAGCTACTTATAACAACAGCTGAAGTGGATATTTTGACTGCAGTGTTTGTCACAACTTCTTCACTCCTCTCTTTGGGAGCAGACAAACAATGTAAAGGTACAGTGACTTAAACCCCTGAATAACTGAGTGTATATGTGTTCACTTTGACACACCTGTGGCTGAGACGCTGACCCGCTGTGGGCTGGAGTCTTTGGGTTCTCCCTCAATAAAAGTATCATCTTGGCCTCTCTCTTGAGGCCAGACTGTACAGATATACTCTCCCTGATCCTCAGTTCTCACAGGCTTTAAGATGAGACGGTAATCTCTGTTCCCACTCCGGGCGGCTCTGAGCTCTCCATTTTTCTGTCGAACACTGTACTCCGGTGCCACAGTGAGAACGCCTGTGGGACCAATGCGGGCCAGCTCCACACTTCCCTTGAGCCATGCTACAGAGAAGAATCTTTTCTCCACGTCCTGTGTGTTTATATTACAGGACAGCATCAGCTCCTGCCCCTCCTGCAGCGCTGCCGGCTGTGCTGAGATTTCCACTGCCAGAGACGGAGACGATGGCTCCACCACCTCTACTCAAGACAAAAAATGAAAACAGTGAGACATCCACACAGGTGTCTATAGGATAAGTACATTTAATGTGCTGACCAATATCAAGATGTGTTATAAATATAGCACGACTGAGTAAAATTCCAACCTGTGGCTTTAACTGTCAGGGTCATTTCTTCTGCATTCTTCTGTATGATGATGTACCAGGAGCCATCAGGATCTTGGATCCACTCCTGAGCCTGGCAGTAGATCCTACCTTGGTCTGATGGCTCAACCTCAGCCATCTTTAGGCTGTACGAGGCCTCTCCCCATTTATCTAAGCGTATGAGACCTGCTTGGTAACGCCTTTCAAACCCCTGGCCTGGGCTCAGTGTAAAATCTCTATTCAGAGAAATGATAGGCTGAGCGTCCTCCTGTCCATCTTTATGGAGATACCAGGCAACAGACAGATGGGTGTGCTGGCTGGTGCTGCTAGAGGCCAGGCATGTTAAAGTCAGAGCTTCACCCTCGTTTAAGCTCAGTGG